AAACCTGCCCTTACCTAGGAAAAGCTGAGCAGTTCACACAGTTGCTGTTTCCAGCCCAGCTTCCCAAAGGATTTCTCTCTCCTGGCAGCACAGACAGGGTCCCCGAGGCAGCACAGACCCTCCCCGCGGGGGGTTGCAATGCCAGGGCACATCCGAACCCGGCCCTGCCGCCTGCCGCTCTCTCCGCCCCTTCTCCCCGCGGCGGCACGCAGGCATGGAATGTTATGGTATTTTTCTTCAAATACTTTGAGGTGGTGCCCTGAATTACGTTATTTCTGCCTCCCTCCCGATGGTGGGAAGTTTCCCAGCAGTCCCATGGCAGCTCTTGGGCAGTGCAGCTGCCAGAGGTCCCTGCGGACTGTGGGACAGGCAAAAACCCCACGGCAAAGGCGAACCTGGATTTTGGAGACGGAGAATTTAACGGCATCACTTTGAGCTGTGCCAGTTCAGTTAACGCCAAAGGAAAATCCAAGACTTCTCCAGCAGGAGTGTTTTTCCTGGACGTGTGTAAAGAGAGGCAAAGCGTTTTACTGCTCTGGAGAGCACAGTGTGCAGGGGGGGCAGCAGCCCAAAGCCACACTCAGGGCCATTTCCCTGCAGTTCAGGGAACCTCCGCTTGCAGCACCTTGAAGTCCTGTGTGCTCAGCACCTTTTCCTTTGGCTTTTCATGCACTTGGAAAGAGGTCTCAGGATCTACCAGTGAATTCAGTGAATTGCCTCAGCCAGAGAGTTTTTTGCTGACCTAAATGGAGCTTTTAAACCCCAGACCCACGGGGTAGGCAGTGTTTTACAAGATAAGAACAGAGTAAGCCAGGATGGATTCTGTTCAGTGCACCATTGGAAGCAAGACAGAAATAAAGTAATTCAGAGCAGTACCTCAAAACACTGGGGGGAAACCCCCCTAACATTCCATTGCTTCCCTTCTTAAAGGAAACCGTGTGAGCTCTGTGTGAGCCAGGAGGCTCTGGGCTGGGGAACACCCGGAGGGATGGAAGGAGCACAATGTTCCTCTCCTCACTCCACCCCCAGTGCAGCCCTCAGGATATGCAGCACCACAGCTGGGGGATGGCCCTGGGGATGCTTTGCTCCATCCTCATGGATCCTGCTGCCCCTCCAGCCCACTCGGAGCCAGAACCATCTCCGGAGGGGGGATGCCGGGCACAGATGCTCGGCTGGAAGGTGACACGTCCCCAGCAGCACCCAAATCCCTGCAGCTTTGTGTCCATTCCTGCCCAGCTCAGCAGATTTGGGCATTGTTCTCCTCTAATCACACCTTGGAAATGGCTCAGAATGGCAACACCTCCAGTCCCAGCTCTGCCCCTGTAGGAGTCCTTGTCCCGGCCCTGCCACATGCACGAGAAATCCACAGGCACACAGGCCTTGCTTGCAGAGTTCCTGACCCAAACCCTTGCCTTTCCTGCCTAGAGCTGAGGGAAATGCGACAGAATATTAATAAATCACCTTTGCTGAGAGCAGTCATCACTCCAGTCTCTCAGGCTTTGCAGGAGTTTGTAGGGAATCGACCCAAATTCGAATCCTACCTCTAAATTTCTCGCAGGTTTTGTTGGAGCGATTCTGGACACGAAATCACTCAACAGAATTCCAAGACTGCACAAGGAATAACAGGAGGTTTTCCAAGCAGAACAGAAGTTCCTTTTTAGCCTTCTCACTCTGGGGCTGTAGGAGCCCATCTTTGCAGCCAATGTTATTCTTGTTAAAGGCCGTGTAAGGCAGCCACGCCCCCCCCCCCCCCTCCCCGCTGGGAGCTTTTCTTGTGACATTATCATTTGCTCCAAGGCCTCTTTGAAAGCTGATCTTGGCTGGGAGTGCAAATAATTACAGAAGTATTGTTTAAAGCCAAAAATCTGTGCATCAGCACATTTCCAGATACCAGTGTTAACAGGAGGCTCCTACCAATCCGTTCCATACCCTCATTGCTCTTGGAGTTTTCATACTTCAGTCCACACCACAGGCTCTTAAGACTTCCAATTCTAAGATCCCCAGAGTAGAGACTCTGCCACGGAAAGCACATGGATAAGTAATGCTTCCAACAGGCTACACAGAACAAATTTCTGAAAAAGAACAATGCAAAACCAGCCCAAACAAATGCAAACACACTGCTGATGGTTATCACCACACTAAGCACAAAGAGACACACAATGCATTACTCCATCCTGGTTTGACAAGCTTGTCCAAAGCAGCATCTTAAAGCAATCTGCAAACATTCTCTATAAAAATCCTTCACTGTCAGCTCAGCAGCCATGGGAAAGCCTGCAGTTGAGTTTATTTCCTCCCCCGCCTCCCAAAATAGCTTTTGCATTAACCAAAAAAACCTGTTAAGTCTCTTTTCCTGAGGTTTTTTTCCATGTGTGTCTCTCAGGCAGAATACATTCCTAATTTCTAATTTTTCATCTATTTGGCAAGTTTTTCCATCATCCACACTGTGTCCTTGGAGTAACATTACCAAGTGAGGAAAAGCATTACTTTTGATAGAAATAAGACTCTTCATCCTAAAACGCTAAATTAAAGCATACCCACTAGACACATGAAAATGCTGCAAAGAATTAATACACAAAATAGTTTATTTTCCACTCCAAGAGATCTCGCAAACTTACCAGAAACAAGCTTTAAAATAAAAGACTGCCAGGTAAAGCATACATCTACCCCTCAAAAAGAGATGGAGACTTCTTCAGACAAGATGTGCTTCTTGATAAACACTGCTGAAGGTGAAAATCCATTTACATTTAATGCTACCACATTTGGGGTTGCAGTTCAGTAAATACTTTCTCTCCCATAGAAACTCCTCCCATTAATGAGCAGCTTTGCCTTAACAAGGATTTGAGGACTTTGGCTTATTACAATATGCCATATACTGTTTCTGTGTGCACAATACAGGGAAACCAGCTGAAACTCTAGTAGGCACCTTCCATCTCTCCCAAAAACCAGAGAGCAGCAGTGCCTTAGGACATCCAAAGAATGTGCCTTAGGACATCCAAAGAATGTGAGGCGAGCTCAGAGACGGCACGGGGTTCGTTTGCATCAGAAAGGTTCCACTGGTCACACCAAGCTGCTTCTGAAGTGTCTCAGGATTCAAGTTCCTTCAGCACAGTGCCAGAAAGCTCCTGATTCCTGGCAGCAGAGATCTTCCTGTATTTGTATATGAAAGCCTCTGTCTTCCCAAGACTAACCCCATAGACACCATCTGGCACCAGAGACCCAAAATGTGTGTGTCTGCTGCTGAGAAAGGATTCTCCAACACCATCCACCACAGAGGAAGGATTCTCACCAACGCTCGGGCCTCTTGCAGTGGCTGTTTCACTGGTGCCATCAGCAATGGCCTCAGCAGAGTCACTTCCAGCACACGTCAAGCCATCCATGCGCTTACGGAGATCTTGGCTCAGCAGCAGTACAATGGTCCCTCCAACACGGAGCACTCTGGCAATTGCAGGAAAAATAAAGGTTAGTGTTCATTCCACCTGGCATTCCTTTGCCTGTGCACAACTCCACACTCTGACACTTCAGATGCCACTTGCATTCAATAGAACACCCGAGTGTCATGACTCAACCCAGGAAGCTACACCTCCAAATGGAATTTAAATTCCCTATCTTCACCCCTCTTCCTAAATGGGAGAAAACAGGGTGAAATGGGAGAAATGCCACCATTGTGGCATTTACACCAAACCCTAAGCATGTCAAAGCCACACGTACCTCTCCATTTCCTGGAGAATATCTGGTAGGAGCTGGGCATCATTCGTGACCTTGAACTTCTTCCCAAATGGAATATCCGAAATCACGGTGTCAAAGCTTTCTGAAGGCAACGGCAGGGCTGCAGAATAAAGGCAGGTCTTTACCTCTGACTGTCTGAAAAATGCAAAGCAGCTATGACCCCATTCCCCTTTTAGAACACTGCCAGCTCTTTTGTGGGTTACGCACCCAGAGTCACACTCCTTCTGCACTTGCCCTCACAAACAGCACCACCAGTCTGCAGAC